GATTGAATAAACTGTAAAAAAAACACTGAAAGTGGTGTACGGTCCGGGAAAGATTAGTCCTGGACATGACTAGGGTTCTGTGTGCATGTCGTGTATAGAGAATTTTGCTTTTGCATTTCAATATAGGTGTCTTAGGAAGTGTTTTCCACTCGGGTGTCAAGTCCGCACCTGTTTCGTTTTCCAGCTATGACGTCATCAAAATGGCGGCTAGGGAAATTTTTAAATGCATATATTTCGCATACCGTGTAACGGATCGGGGTGATTCTTTTTTTGTTTGAAAGATAATTTTACAGGAAATGTTTTTTGTATTTACACTTTTGTTGTCAACTTAATATTTATCTCACAATATTAAAAAACGTGGTTTTTAATATCATTGTTTTTGAATTTTTCTTTATAGCTTGTTAAACGCTTATAGAATGAAATAACTACCCGTTACATAAGTTGTAGATAACTTTATGCCCTTTCCAATGATACCAAACAATTAATATTTCAAACTAAAATTAAAGCCAAGAGATTAAATAAACCGTTAACAAACACTCAACATGGTAGATAGTCCGGAAAATATTGCGGCTGGAATAATTTTCCAAATGCGTATATTTCACATACCGTTTTACGAACTGGGATGATTCTTTTTTTGTTTGTAAGATATTTTTTAAGCCTATCTTTTTTGTATTTACACTTTTGTTGTTAATCTACTATTTATCCCACAATATTAATAAATGTACATTTAATTGTTATTTTTATTTTACTTTTGCTTATAACTTTTTGACAAATAGTAGGTTAACAACAAAGGTGTAAATACAAAAAAGATAGGCTTAAAAAATATCTTACAAACAAAAAAAGAATCATCCCGGTTCGTTAACCAGTATGCGAAATATACGAATTTAAAGGATTGTTCCAGCCGCAATATTTTCCGGACTATCTACCATGTTAAGTGTTTGTTAACGGTTTATTTAATCTCTTGGCTTTAATTTTAGTTTAAAACATTAATTGTTTGGTATCGTTGGAAAGGGCATAAAATTATCTACAACTTTTGTAACGGGTAGTTATTTCATTCTATAAGCGTTTAACAAGTTATGAAGAAAATTTCAAAAACAATGATATTAAAAACCACGTTTTTTAATATTGTGAGATAAATATTAAGTTGACAACAAAAGTGTAAATACAAAAAACATTTCCTGTAAAATTATCTTTCAAACAAAAAAAGAATCACCCCGATCCGTTACACGGTATGCAAAATATATGCATTTAAAAATTTCCCTAGCCGCCATTTTGATGACGTCATAGCTGGAAAACGAAACAGGTGCGGACTTGACACCCGAGTGGAAAACACTTCCTAAGACACCTATATTGAAATGCAAAAGCAAAATTCTCTATACACGACATGCACACAGAACCCTAGTCATGTCCAGGACTAATCTTTCCCGGACCGTATACCACTTTCAGTGTTTTTTTACAGTTTATTCAATCTCTTTGCTATATTTTTAGGTCTAATCACATATTGTTTGGTATCGTTGGAAAGGGTATAGAATTATCTACAACTTTTGCAACGGGTGGTATTTGATTTTATCAGCGGTTAAGAAGTTATAAGCAAAACAATAAATATAATAACAATAAAAACGACGTTTTTCAATATTGTGCGGTGAATATTAAGTTTACAACAAATGTGTAAATACAAAAAAGATAGTTTGTAAAAGTCTCTTTCAAACAAAAAAGAATCATCCCGATCCGTTAAACGGTTTGCGAAATATACGCATTTAAAAATTGCCGAGCCGCCATCTTGATGACGTCATAGCTCGAAAACGTACCAGGTACGAACTTGACACCCGAGTGGAAAACACTTCCTAAGACACCTATATTGAAATGCAAAAGCAAAATTCTCTATACACGACATGCACACAGAACCCTAGTCAGGTCCTGGACTATTGGGGCTTTTTAATTATTTCCGTGAGTTCATACCCAACATGTCATCTATTACGTGCCCGTTGAGAGAGTTGTTAAAAAAGAATACTAAATGGGAATGGTTGCCTATTCACTCTGAATGTGTGCAAAAACTAAAAAACATTGTTACGACAGCCACCAGTATTAGCTACTTTTGACCGAAACAAACCTATTGAGGTACATGCAGACGCGAGTAAAGATGGCATAGGCTGTTGTATTTGTATACTGCAGTCAGGTAGGCCAGTATCATTTTCTTCTCGGAGTTTATCTTACTCAGAACAGCAATATTCACAGGTTGAAAAAGAGTTGTTGAGTGTTGTAGCAGCAGTAACAAAATATCATCATCTTTTATATGGTAATAAGTTTGTTGTTTATAATGATTCTAAACCATTGGAGTCAGTAATGAAAAAGCCACTACATAAAATAATGTCGCCAAGGCTGCAACGCTGCAACGTTTGAAACTTAAGCTTGTAAAATATGACATGACTATCAAGTGGCGTCCTGGTAAAAGTATGGTTGTAGCGGACTGGTTGTCTCGTTCTTTTAAAAGTGATGATGTTTCAGACCAGGATAGTGATCCTGTAATTGATTTAGTGGAAGTTGTAATACCACATGATTTAGCCATTTCTGAGAGTAGGAAATCTGAGTTTGTTAATGCTACACAGCAAGATCCTAGCCTAAAACTTGTCTGTAAGTACATTCAAGGTACGTGGCCTAGTGTTAAGAAAGATGTACCTGAACATGTTAGAGTATATTTTGATAAACGCTATGACTTGTATGTATATAATAATCTAGTATTTTTGAATGATAAATTAGTACCGTAGTTCCACATAGCCTAAGAAAGGCCATGCTAGAGTTATTACATGAAAACCATTTGGGTTGTGAGAAAACAAAATCTAGAGCCCGGCAGTTGCTGTATTGGCCAGGAATGGCCGGTGATATTGATAGGCTAGTTCTAAGATGTAATATTTGTCAAAGGTACATGAATGCAAATGCTAAAGAACCCTTAAGATCACATGAAATCCCTGATTTACCATACAATAAAATTGGTATGGATATTGCTGAGTATGGGGGTAAAATCTATCTTATAGTGGTAGACTACTTCAGTAGAGATCGCGTGACGTGTAATGGCGACTGGTCGATGTGATCTTCAGTGTCCGTCCTGTAATAAGAAAGTTAAAAAGAATGAAAAAGGAATTGGTTGTGAAGGTTTTTGTAAGATTTGGTGGCATATTGACTGTGTGCATATTTCTGACGATGAATATTTGAAAATTCAATCACTAGAAGAAAAAGTGAAGTGGTTTTGCCCGAACTGTGACGACAAGGTTAGCAGAGTGCTTGTTAAGATAACTGATGCTGAAAGTTTCTTAAATATTGAGGAAACTGTTGCAAACTTGCTAAGGTTAGTGAAAGGTGTGATAACGGACAATTTGGAAATAGTTAACAAGTTAGAAGAGTCTAATCAGGTTAATTTGAGGTTAACTGATGACTTTCAATCTTTCAAAGAATTTGTTAGCGGCAAGTTGTCTGCTGGTTCTACTGCTACTATACCTGTACAGTCCAGCAGATATACAAAGACGTTAAAAACTCAATCTGAAATTGACAAAAACTGTCACTCTGCTGTCCTTGAAAATGACAACCGAATGTTCGATACTAATGTTCGAGATCCTGAATCGGGAGCAGACGACAACACCAATGTAACCGTAACCTCCAACCAAGGAGTTAGCGGAAAGGTTCAAGAAGATAAAACTAACACTTTATATAAAGATCAACGCAACGGGCGAAATTATTCCCAATCTCCAAATATTTGGAGCTCGAAAAATTTTCCTGCGTTACCCAAGCAAGTATCGGCAACGCGAGACCAAAGAGCTACATGGTCTAGAGAGTTTATGAACAACAAGTATCGTGACGTAAATCAAAGCAGACATTACAGTGGTTCTACAGCTTACAAAGGCCGTGGATACTCAAACCGAAGAAGCCGCTTCACTGCAGACGACAACTATGGCGATTCATCTGCATCTCGAGTGAACGTTGAGGTTATTGACAGTGAACTTGTGCCGAAACGTTTTATTGTCGGTACTAACGAAAATACCAGTATTGTAGCCGGTGAAAAGAAAGCCTGGTTCTATCTGGGCAGATTAAAAGCTGACACAACAGCTCTTGCCGTGGAAAATCTTATTAAGGAATCCTTTTCAGGTAGTATTAATATTGTTGTTGAGAAGCTTGAATCAAAAGGCTGGAATTCTAGCTTCAAAATAGGTGTGGAATTTGAGAGGAAAGACGAGTTTATGGAAAGCTCTATTTGGCCTAAAGACTCCATAATTAAACGTTTTTTGTTCAAACGTCCAAGGGACAAGCAACAGACTTAGGTTGCCTTGCAGCAAGCTCAGTTTCACAGCCTAGGTCTGGTGACAATATTAGGGGTAGTTTGAACTTTTTGTTTTATAATGTACAAAGTTTAAATTCTAAAATTCCTGAACTAGAAATGGCTCTATTAGATATAAATTTTGATTTTTTGTGCCTTTATGAGCATTGGATGACTCAAGAAGCTATTGAACTGAAGAGATTGACTGGTTTTAGCCTGGTATCTTCTTTTTGCAGAAGTATGCATATACATGGGGGTGTGGCTATATTCTCCAGAAGTGAACTTAAGGACAAGTTAGTGGTTATTAATGTAGAACAGTTTTGTTTGGAACTTCATCATGAGTTTGTGTGTATTCTTTGTAGTGACATAAATATCTTACTGATCGGTGTTTACAGACCTCCGGGTGGGGATCATAACCTATTCCTCAATGCACTTGAAAGCCTGATCCTGTCCCTGAATAAATATAGGACTAATTGTAGACTAGTGGTGGGTGGGGATTTCAATTATAACATTTTGGATAGTGGAAACCCTAAAGTTGAAGATTTTATTAATCTACTGAAATCATTAGACCTGTATTGCACGAACTATCAACCTACACGCTATGATGCAGGTCTAGACAACGCTGCGACTGATATTCCTTTAGATATGTGTAATACCCGGGTTCTGCCATATACTCTAAGTGACCATAAAGCATTAAGTGTGTAAATCACGGACATGAGTATTGGTAATCAAATAAACCAACGTGCTGACAAACTAATACGACCTATTACTCCTAGTAAAGTTACCTTATTTGGGGAAAGACTTTGTTGGGTTGACTGGAGTAGGGTCCTTGTGTGGACAAACGCTGAATCCAACTTTGATGCTTTTTTCTGTACATTTTTAAACATTTTTAATGAAATTTTCCCGGAGAGAGTTGTTAAGACTAAACAAAACCTGTCCAAGAAAGTTGTTTTACCGTCATGGGTAAATCAATCTCTTATGGAGAAGAAGAAATGGGTACTCTATGCCTATGATGTCTACAGAAGTACCAAAACAGAGGAATCCAGGAGTTACTACAATAATCTTAAGAAATGCTATAAACAAGACTTGAATCAAGCTAAACTTGAATACAACATGCACAAAATTGAGAGTGCGAGCAATAAATGTGCGGCAGCATGGGGTGTTATTAGGTCACAATCAGCTACCCCGAAATCTACAGGCACTCTGGTGGATCCTGATGTGTTCAACTCCCATTTCATTGACTCGGTCCAGGTGGCTAGAGATGGTATTGGAGCCTCTGAAGCATCTCCTCAAGAACTTCTTCACCCTGCACCAACTGCGGCTGGCTGTCTGCGCACATGGAGACTGGTGGACCCGGACCATGTGGCGAAAGTTGTTGGAAATATGAAGAACACCTCGAGTAAGGATATTTACTCTTTATCCAGCTCTTTTGTTAAGTTAATTATTAATCATATATTATTTCCATTAACCTTCTGTATAAATAACTGCTTGATTGAAAGTGTTTTTCCATCTTGTCTAAAGGTAGCAAAGGTAGTACCTATACATAAGAAAGGAAGTAGAGACTCTCCTGAGAACTTCAGGCCCATATCGGTACTTCCTATTTTTTCAAAGATTTTTGAAGCTATTGTAAAGGAACAGTTACATGAGTTTTTTGTTAGCAACGGTCTGTTTTCCTCCTCACAGTTTGGTTTCAGGAGTGGCCTTGGCACCATAGATGCAGTCGATAGCGTGGTAAGTGAGGCTCTGGGTGGTTTTGAGTCTGGGGGCTTTGTTGGGGCCACCTTATGTGACCTCAGCAAGGCCTTTGATACAGTCGACCATTCGGTCCTTTTGTCTAAACTTGAACACTATGGTGTTGTGGGTGGCTCCTTGGAGTTTTTGCGGTCTTATCTGTGGGAGAGGAGGCAGTCTGTGGTTGTGAATGGACTGAGTTCGCAGGAGAGAGTCATCTCCCATGGCGTTCCGCAGGGCTCGGTCCTGGGGCCCCTGCTTTTCCTGGTTATGATGAATGATGTCAGTTACAATATCGATGGTGGTGTTGTGTGCTATGCAGATGACACCACCCTCATATGCAAGAGTCAAAATTTTGAGAAACTCAATGACGCCATGAAGCGGTCTCTAGATTCGGCCGAAGACTGGTTCCGGGCCAACTACTTTTTATTAAACCGAGATAAAACACAAACCATAGTTTTTACACTGAAGCATGTTGCTACAAACAGTGAACCTGTGAAACTATTAGGAATAACACTTGATAGCAAACTCACTTGGAGTTCTCACATTTCTGGTGTGTGTAGTAAATTATCTAGAATCATGTGTTTGCTTAGGAATTTAAGCTATTTAGTTACAAAGCCATACCTTAAGCAGGCTTACAGTGCTTTTTTTCAAGGAACCATACTGTATGGACTGCGATTGTGGGGTGGAGCTGCTGATGTTAGTAGGGTTCTCTTGTGGCAGAAGAAGGCTATCCGCCTACTGGCTGGTGCTGACTACCTTGCACACAGTAAACCACTGTTTATTAATGAAGCCATCATGACTGTCTATAGCTTATATGTATTTCTGCTTTTGCTTTCAGCTAAAAAATGCCAAGGTACTTTAGTCAGTAGAAAAGATGTACACTGTCATAACACTAGAAATAAGAACAAATTTGATGTCCCATATGTAAGATTAAAAGTAGTTCAGTCAAATCAGGAGGTCACTAGATTAAAGTTGTTCAATCACCTGCCAACAGAGGCACGGAACCAGTCTCAAAAAACCTTCCAAACAAGTGTGAGAAACCTGTTGCTGGCACACCCATTGTTCTCAGTCCAGGAGTTTTATAAAATCCCAAGTAATATTGTAAGTAGCTTTTTTAAGACTTGAGTGATGTTTGCAGTTTGCTTTTTATTTATTTGGGTTTGTAGTTAGCTGCATGGTTTTGTCTGCATGGTGTGCTTTGTTAAGATGCAAACTGTATTTGTTTCTGTACTTTTTCTTTTCAAAGAGTCAGATTCTTGAGCTACCTGACATTCGAGCAAATGTGAGTATATAAGCCTTTTTTGCGTGCTGTGTTTGCTTGGTTTTTCTTAGGTTAAGTTTTTGCAATGATTGTATATATTGACAATTGTATTTTTTGTTGACGATGCCCATTGCATTTGTACAATGCTTAAAGGAAAATAAATTCATTTCATTTCATTTCAGTAAATGGTTAGATTGTTTACCGCTAACATCTAAAACTAGTACAGATGTGATACGGGAACTGAAAAAATTGTTTGCAATTCATGGTAAGTATTCCCTCTAAAGTAATTGCTGATAATAATCCGTTTGGGTCTTATCAATTCAAAACTTTTGCAGCTGAATGGAATTTTGAGATTGTCAATACAAGCCCCTTATACCCTAGATCGAATGGCCAAGTCGAGAGAATGATCCAAACTTTTAAGAAAATTCTCAAGAAATGTTGTGATGATAACAAGGATATCAATTTAGCCTTGCTTGAGTTCCGTAACACACCTGTAGTAGGTAACTTATCTCCGGCTCAATTACTAATGAGTCGTAGGCTACGAAGTAGAGTCCCAGTGTCTGCTAACTTGTTAAAACCGCAAGTACATGATACTAGTCTAGTAAGTAGGCTTCTTTCTAAACATCAGGAATTGTCTCCTAAATATTACGACAGAAGTACTCGTCCTGGACGGTACTTTAAACCACAAGACAAAGTATATGTTTACAATGTTCACTCAAGGATTTGGGAACCTGGTCTTGTAGTAGGCTATACAGCTAACGTAAGGTCATATGTTGTAAAACTATTTCGAAGTGGAAGAGTTGTTACGCGTAATACATTTCATCTCAGGTTAAGACCTTCAGATGGTCAAAGTAATTGGTATAGTGACAATCATATCATGACCAATCAATTGTCTGTGTTGAATCACCAATTAGGAATAGGCATTCCACTCCAATGTCCAGTAAAAGTGTGTCACAGCAACACGAAGAGTCAATCGTAAATAGTCCAATTAGGCCTATTGAACAAATGCCATCAATGAATGGAGATGTTGAAAATACAACTGATGAACCTACTTCCAGGTACGGTAGACCTCTTAGGAAACCCATTAGGTTTAACGATTACGAAATGTAAGTTAATCAAATGTTTTGTTTTGTAAATGTAGCCTACTCAAATTTTAAACTTTTTCACTGATGTTAAGTAGCCTAACTGTTTTTATCCCTTGATCTGTAGGGAAAATCTTAGATCTACTTGGAGATGAGATGTTGTTTACTTTGTGTTTTATTTCATGCATAGCAGTTACTATTCTTTTGTGTACAATTTCATTTTACATCATGCGGAGCCAGTTAAGATGAAGAGACAATAACTAATAGCTGACATGTGTACTAAACAGTTGTGAGAAAATTCGAATAGGCCCTAATATCAATTTAAAATTGTATAAGAACCTCAGTAAAATTGTGTTGGTTAGTTGTTAGACAAACATGAAATTATTTTTAAGTAATAATAATGAGTTAAAAAGTTGTAATGCTAAGAGTTGTTAGAATTATTCCACACTAAGATGAAATTTTCACATTAAGATGGAAGAAGTAATAAAAAATAAAATGATGTAAACGTAGCAATTCAATAATGTAATAGCCTACATATAAAACTAATTTTAAGATAGGCTGAGAAAATTAAGAATGTTAATTTTGAAATTGTTTTGGTTGTAAATTGTAATATTCAGTAAACAAGTGAATTAAAAAGTAGCCTAATGCTGTTGAGCACTTGGCATTCTGTGTGTTTCTAGGAAGTGAGATAGAAAACATGCATTTATAAGAAATAGGCCATAGCAAAGGTACATAAACAAAAGTGTTAAAAAATCATTATTAGTTACACTATCAGCAGAGTTATAGTAAACTTAAATTTAATTTGATTTGTTTCATAACCACTAACTATGTTAATGTTGTTTTGTAATGAGAGTTATTTTGAAGTAAGAAGATAAATGTTTCTTTTGTCAAAGAGGGAAATGTTATAAGTACTCATTTCTAATCTAATTGTATTTTATATTTTGTTGTATTGGCACAACTGTAACTATCAGTAGTGGGGGAGCCTCGTCTGTGAGTCTCTTCCTTCTTCACTTTGTTTTTAATAAAGATGGCAGCTTTGAGTTAATTGAAGATGTTTGTTTTATTTAAATAGATATTCACCACAGCCTACTTTAATAATAATAATGACTGAAGAACAATCGCTACAGCATTCACGTCCAGGCTAGTGTTTCTTTCATCTTCATTTACCTTTGTGGGACATTCATTTTGCTCCTCAATAGGCCTATTTACAGTATTTGCAGTTGCCTTGAGTTGGTTGAGGTGGTGAAATATTGACTGAGCAAACTCTTACCGCACAGAAAAAATCCAGAAGTATAAGCAAATTGTATTTTTTGTTCAAGACGAAGCTGTTGAAAGGCTTGAGGAACAACAAATAGAGGAAGGAGTTCCAGCAAGTGAGAGTAGTGGATTCACTCAAGTGAGCACAGAACAATTGTTCACCATTACTTCAGGTAATGTTATTACTTAGGTAATGTTATACGTTGTATTATTCTATACTAATGACTTTATGAGTATTTCTATAAGTAGAATGGCATGAAGACATTTTTTAAAACCAATTCTTGTGTTTTTTTTACAGATAATCTCCAAAAAGCAAGAGCAAAATGCTCCTTGACCTCCAGCCAAAATTTGGTAAAACCAACCACACCTTTGCAATCAACATCAAGAGCGGATTCTTGTGCCAAGACAAGCAGTAAGTAAATTATGCAACATTGTAATTAGCACCATTAACAATTTGTAAATACCCCTTGTAGTCATGTTTTGATACCCCCAGAGGCCAAAAACACGATCCGTTGAACGGATCCTAGAAACATAAAAATGCACAATTTCAATTGTTATCATCTTGTAGTGCTAAAAAAACAATAAGTAGGCCTGTAGGTTTTTTTATGTTATCATAATAAGCTATTTTTGACATAACATACAATAGTTAAATCTGACATAATTTCGTTTGTGTGGAATTACATTTCCTTCAACTTTTGTAGTAAACTTTTTTTGCCATCTCTTACCATTACGCCATTCTCACTAATTGAACGTAAGTTCAATGTACAATATTAATAATGAGAAAACTCCATCAAAAATAAGAAATATTTTGTTTTTTTATTTTTCCTAATGATTTCTAAGGTTCTCAGGATAAGGATGAGGGGGGTCCGGAAGTTAAGACTTCATGTCAGCTTAATGTAAGTAGATATTGCAGCGCTCATTGACAGCTGTGAGAAAGGGTCGTCGAAACAGGCGAATTTTATTAGAAAATAGTGATCCGTTTCACATCTTCTCAATTCCTGTGTATTAAAATGTAGGCTATTAATTTATTTCCCAACATTTTTATGGTCAAAATTTTGCAGGAATTTGATTCTTTATCACTGTTGGTAAGCTACATTTGTGCAGTCTTTTATAAAATTATTTTGTCCATGTTCCAGATTTTGAAGAAACATGTATTACAAACCAAAATTTGATGACAAATTATTTAAAGCAAATCCTTGGTGAGTTGTCATCAATGAATGACAAACTGGAAAAAATGTCACAAACACAAGAGATGGACCTGAGGATTGTTCAATCCAACTTGGAGGATAGTCTTCCATTAAAAGACCTGGAGAGTCTTGATACACTAGAGGAGAAACTAGAGGAAAAAAAAATTAAGAAGAACTGGTAAGAAACAGATTCATTTCTGTTAGCTACATTTAACTTTTTGGCTTGTTGAAGTAGGCCTACTCCAATCTTAGGTTTACATTAGCAGCCACAGAATATTCTATTGGGTTTTAAAATCAGTTTGGTACAGCGATTGCTTTAAAACTTAGACTCTGTACACATGAGAGCGTTGCAACGCGCGTTACGTCTCGAGTTACGAAGGTTCTAATGTGACCGTACACATGTGAGCGTTGTAACGCGCATTTTGGAGTAGAGGGTTTTATGCATTTTTACGTGTACTTCTATATACTAAACCTTATGTTAATTATGATGTTCTCTTCTGTTGATATCCAATACCTAACAATGCTCTCGCAAGGTGCTAGACAGACTTTAACTTAAGTTAAATGTAGCAATTAGCATGCTTTAGTATTTTAAAGCTGACGTTCATATCCTCGATTAGGTTACAAAGAAAAAAAACATTCAAGCTAAACTTTCTTGTAAAAAGTGTTCTTAGGGAATTCCCCCCGACACAATTACCCGGGACCGCTTCCTTTATTTCATTTTGATGTCCACAAAGGAAAAAAAACATCATTAATTTAATATGTTATAGTTAAAATATTAAATTAAGCTGCAACGAGGGTATTTTGATTTTGTTTTTTTCTGTATATCCATAGTACAACTCCCTTACAAAAAAGTAAAAACTACCTTTACGCCACACTACATTATTTTGACGAACTTCCCACGCAAGGATTTAGTCCAGAAAACAGCTGTTTGCCGCCAGCTTATTCAAATGGGGTTTCATTGCGTACTACTGTGCTGCAATGAGTTTTGCCGGACACTAATCAGCTGATTATACTGTATTTAGGTGGCAGTGAGTGGTTATAAACAAAAACATAACCTCTCTTAGAGGTTATGACTAGTGATTTTTAGTCCTTTAGTTGGTGGTAATATATAAGGATTTGTACGGATTTAGTAGTATGGCGTAAACTATCGTACGTAACTTGTCCAAAATGTGTGTACCGGACTCATATGGTAATCCCGTACTCGACTTCGTCTCGCACGGGAACGACCACACTCGTCCGGTAAACACTTTTTTTCAGGACTAGTAACGTAATATACTATTTCGATTTTGTATGTACTATTATAGGGTTTTTGTGTATTATCATAGGGTTATTAACCTCTTGGAGTCCGGTTTTAGCTATGTCAGTGATTTACTGCAGTCCGGGTTTTTTTCGATGAAAATGTAGATACTTTTTTAAAAATTTGTATAAAATCAGTAAATAGTGTAAACATATCAATATATATATTTATTTTGTTTGCAATGAAGAGAGAAATCAGAAAATAACATAAAAAATTAAAAGTTTTAGAGTTTTTTTTGTTTTTTGAAAAACAAAAAAATCGAACATAAATTTCAAAAGTAATGGTTCTGTAAAAGTACAAATTATTTGATATTAAAAATCTATTATATACATCTGTTAG